TTTTTTTTTTTTTCAAATTTAAAATTCAAATCATGCATTTATTGGTTGTCTCCCAAAACTGACATAATAAAATTCCTGACCAAACTTTGTGGCGTAGTGTTATCTCATTTTCGAAACCTCTCATTTTTTCTCTTCGTCTGTGTGTAGAGCTTTTTTTGTGTCTCATTTTTTACAAAATTTTGATTTAGTTTGCAACATCTGTGCTTTTTGCCCAATTATGTAGTTGTGATTTGGCTTTTATTTGCAATTTTTTAATCTCCGATTCGCGCAAAGAATGGAGCCTTACTCAATTCATGGTTTATTAGAAGTGCGATTCACTATGTTCGACCAGAACTACAGTTGTTCGCGCAAGGAATGTAACCTTATCATCTGTCAGTTCCAGAAGAGGAAGAGCAATTTTATTTACCAGATCCTCCGCGTACGGAGGCTGGTGTGCCTCCGCGTGTGGATGAATGGTTCCTCCGTACGGCATGCCTCCTCGTGAGGAGGAATGGTTCCTCTGTACACTAGAGGAGGAATGGCCGCCAAATACGGCTCGTGCCCAATCAAGCTAGTGTAGAGGGTGATTGAAATATTATCCGGCCTTGGTTCTTTTGCCTTCAAGCTGTGGCTCGACCAATTGAATAGGTAGCTAGATCAGAACCAAAGATTACGGGAAGTTGAACTTAGGCAGGTTTTCATGAGATTGGGACCTACTTTTGTAAAAGTCAGCCAGAGCTTGTCCACGAGGCTAAATTTGTGTCCACCCTCATACCTCGAGGAGCTCTTCGAATTGCAGGTAGTGTTTCGTTTATTTATACATGTAACATGTTTATGATTTCATTTCAATTCTAGGTACCGTTTACTTTGAATCAGAGAATTTTGACTTGTGTCTGGATAGAGTTTTTTGCTAGCGTGTTTGGGTGAGTACAAGGGACAAAAGCGATGGGTAGGTGATGTATAGAATATAGATTGATCAAATTTCTCACAGTCTTTCGCACCCGGCATAATTTGTTCGAGCAATGAATGTTTAATATTAGTGGGTAATGAGACTTATATGAGCTTATTTAATAATTCTTTTGATATAGAATCTTCATCGCCGTTATTGTGATGGAGCGGGATGCTTTGCCAACTTTTCCAGATGAAGAAGCACTTACATGTATCGAGAGAGAGTTGGGACTTCCACTTGATTATGTTTATTCATCAATATCTGCTTCTCCAATTGCTGCTGCCAGTTTAGGTCAAGTGTACAGAGCTCAGTTGAAGTACTCTGCCAGTTTGTTGCTGTGAAGGTGCAAAGACCTCTTATTGAAGAAGCTATAAGGCTGGATTTTTATCTTATAAGAGGTTTAGGTTTCCTCATAAATAAATACATTGATATAATTACAAGTGATGTCCTTGCTCTTATTGACGAATTTGCTCGAAGAGTTTACTAAGAGCTCAATTATGTGCTAGTCAGTTTCTGATATTATTTTGCATTTACTACTGAAGAATATCAATGTGAGGCACTTTTCTTATAGACAGAGATTTGGAAGATTTTCCCTTTCTTTCAATTGTGTGAAGTATAAAGCTATTGGTTGTGAATGTTAATTTTGAAAGATCTATGTAGGAGGGGTAGAATGCAAGGAGATTTAAAAAGTTGTATGCTTTTTACCTGTAAAATGGGCTACAAAATACTGGGATCAATGAGAGTGTGTGTGTGTCAGTGTATGTGGCTGGGTTAATTTGGTAGGAATTAGGATTTTATTTTGTGCAGTTTTGTTGATGGAACTCTTCAAATTCTGGAATCCGTTTTAGTTTCCAAAGACGTGAAATCGTTGGTGGAAGTGAGATCGGCGTTGACAGAGTCCATGAGAGATGAATCGCTCCAAATCCTT